CGTCGAAAAATCTAGTTCAATTTTAGCCAGCCCCCCTCTCGTTCAAACAGTCGCGTAAACACACACACACACACACACACACACACACCGCTATTCTAATAGGTGTTTTCTTACCCCCCGCCGCCTTGCCCTAGGCGATCTAGACCCCGCCCTAGACGCGTCAAAGGCGGGCAGAGCAGCCGAACTAAAACGGGGATCTAGAAAAAGAGGTCATGCATTGTGGGCAGAGGCTGGGCTGCTGATGGGGGCCGCGTTCGAGATCCCCGCAGACTGATTTCCGAGAGTCGTTTTCGTCGCTCTGTCTCTCTCGCGTGAGGCGCCCCGTATGGGTGCGAGAGAGACAGCCTGGCGGTGCATTTCGGCCCCTGCCCCCCTGACGGACCGCGGCGTGGAGTACGTGCCTCCCCCTCCCCCTCTCCGTCGGACTGGTGGGTCTTTACGACCACCGAGTGTTTCTACTCAAGCGTGCGGTCTTTCACAACCTGTCAAAGACCTATTTTTAATTCGTCGTAAACAGGGCTAGCGGCGGGGGAGGCCCGGCTAGGGGTTACCGCGGAAAAAGAGGGAAGGGGGCCCGCCCAGGGAATTTCCGAGTTCACCGCGGAACTCACGTGCATTCCCTTGGCGCGTTGAGCGCGAACGAGCGCACAGTGGGCCGGAAGACCGGAGGAGGCGGTAAAAATCCCGGGCGCGCTGACGCCCAGAGTCGCTAAACGGGACTCGAACCGAACGTGTGACCCCCACCACTGGATTCCTCGTTCGGAGAGCAACCCATTGGTGGGGTCACACGCTCGGTTAGAGTTCCATTTAGCGACCCTGGAACTCAAAACTCGTTTAAAGTTTTTGGCCGTCTCCAACGGTCTTCTGGCCCACTGTGCACCGACCGCGCCCCACGGCGGCGGGCATCGTCGCTCCGACTCTCTCGCACCGCCGGGTGCCCTGCGAGTTCAAGAGGGACACAGAGAGAGACAGCCCTAAACAAGACTTGCGGTGGCGCGCGTGGCGCGGGGGGTGAGTAACCTACGCAAACTCAAGGCGGGAGTGTAGTGGGGCGCCTTCAAGGTGTTACGTCATTTAACAACCCTGGAGAGCAATTACGGAGCACGGGCCGTGTGCTTTCCGAGCAACCAGAAGTAAACAGAGGGGCTGCTGCGTGGGCGGACGGGGAGGGGGAGGGGAGGATGCTGGCGGGCTGGCGGTTGGCCGCTCACGCCAAACTAGAGTACCGGACATCGAGACCGATTTGTTTCCCGCGCGCGTTTCGCAAGAAAATAAACAAAGTGGCGTTTTTAGATATTCGCCCACCGCGCGTGCTGATGCAGCACAGTGGGCTAGAAGACCGGTGGAGGCGGCCGAAACTGTAGGCGCGTTTTGAGCGCCAGAGTTGCTGAACAGGACTCGAACCGAATGTGTGATCCCACCAATGGATTCCTCCTTCGGAAAGCAATCCATTGGTGGGGCCACACGTTCGGTTCGAGTCCCATTTACCGAGACTCTGGAGCTCAAAACGCGTTCGGTCAGCTGATGCAGCCTGCAGCCGCCACTCCATGGTCCGCGGCGCGCGGCCTCCGCCACTTGGCGCCCGGCCGACCGACTGCACAACTCGCTGTCCAATTATAAATTCACGGCCAAGTTGGACCTTTCGGCTTCCACACTGTAGATACGCCGGTAATTAGGACGAGCAGAAGCGAAACGCGAAGCCCGGCGAAGCCTCATCAATGTTTCCCCTGACTTGTTCCGCTTTCGCAGCGACTCGTGTTTCCAGTGTTTCCAGAGTTTGAATGCGGCAATGCGGCGGCAGTGGCGGCGAGCAAAGGGGTGGGCGGCCGGGAGAGACAGCGCCGAGCAGAGCGGAGAGTTCTCAGAAAGAGTTCCAGAAGAAACGCTCTCGGCCAGAGGAAACGCTGTTGACGGAAAGGGGAGTGCTGGAAGGGAGTGCTTGAAAGGAGACTTTTGAAGGGAGTGCCTGAAAGGGTGACTGCTGGAAGGGAGTGCTGGCAGGGTGACTGCTAGGACGGGGTACTGGAAGGGTGACTGCTCAAGGGAGTGCTGGTAGGGTGACTGCTAGGACGGGGTACTGGAAGGGTGACTGCTCAAGGGAGTGCTGGGGTGGCCGCGAGAGCTGGAGAACGTCGCGGGCTCCAGGCAGCCTCCATAAAGAGACGGGCTAGAGGGGCGGCCGTGTCCATACCTTCTATTCATCCGCCTCCCCATCTTTCCCGGGAAATTTATTTTCCGAGCGGTGGGCGCTTTCCCGCCTTCACCGCCGCCGTAACTCACCGCCTTATTACTGCCTTTCAAAAATTTATCGCCCCGTGAAGCGAGCCGGCCGGAAGGAAGGCCTCTATAATTTGGTCACATACTCGTGTCTCGTGGCGCAGCACAGTGGCCCGGAAGACCGGTGGGGGCGGTCAAAATCCCGGACGCGTTTTGAGCTCGAGAGTCGCTGAATGGGACTCGAACCGAACGTGTGACCCCACCAATGGATTCCTCGTTCAGAGAGCAATTTACTAGTGTGGTCACACGTTCGGTTCGAGTCCTGCTCGGCGACTCTGAACTCAAAACGCGTCTAGAGTTTTTGCCGTCTGCGCCGGTCTTCTGGCCTACTGTGCGCAGTGCGGTCAGGTGGCCGGACGACCGGCCCGGGTTCGACTCCCGGCGGAAGCGGCTTTTTTCCTGCCCCGGCCACAGGGAGACGCGCCTAGCTGGCCGCCGCGGTGTGCCGCGCGAGCCGCCGCCACCCACGCACACCCCGCGGAGGGGCGGTGCCCGGCCAGGCGCCCGGCCAGGCGCCCCGCACGCGGTTCAACCCCTAACGCGTAATTTATGAGGTGGAGTCGTTGAGACACTAAATAACACGCTTCCCTCGCTCGCCCCTCCAGCCCCCTCCTCCCTCCCCTCACTGTGCCGATGGTGTGGCACTCGATGACCTCAAGCCGCTGTCACACTGTAGACGCACTTTTTGCGCTCAGGTGGGCATCACACTGCCAAACGCCCGGACGCTTCAGCGTTCACCACTTCAACCATCCCCAGTCCTACCCCAAAAGATTGAGAAGTTACATAAAAGAAAGAAAAATCGATTTTGAGAGTTGAGTTGGTATAAAGATAGCTTCTGCTCAACTTTGAGATGATAATTTCATGGGTGGCTCGCCTGTACGCAGTGTCGCCTGGCTCATGGCTCGTCCGTCCACTATTGGCTCGCGAGTAGCTGCTCATGAAACATTTGGCCACCCCACCGCCCCCACCATGGCAGTCTGTACCAGGGCGCGTGTGACTTACCCTAATCGATGGCTCGACGGAGGCCTGGCCAGACCGCACAGTGGGCCAGAAGACCGGAGGAGGCGGTCAAAATCCCGGACGCGTTTGGAGCGCTAAATGAGACTCGAACCGAACCTGTGACCCCACCAATAGATTGCTCTCCGAACGAGGAATCCTTCAGTGGGGTGACACGTTCGGTTCGAGTCCTATTTAGCGACTATGGAGCTCAAAACGCGTCCAGAGTTTTGGCAATGTGACTTTTGCCCGGCCACCGACTGACAGTGTAGTGTAGCCTCCCTCATGGCGTGCCGACGCGTGCGGCGCGCCGCCCTATTTAAACAACTATTTAAAATCATTAGCGGCGAAGCGAAGCAGATCAATGATTCATGCCGATAGGGGGAGAGATAGGCCGGGGCGGCGAGGGATAGCCCGCCGGGGCGGGGCGGGGCGGGAGGGCCGCGGCACTGCCGGGGTGGGACGGGGACGGGGCGGATGAGTGAGTAAGTGGCGAAGCGGCCCAAGTCCCATCGATTAAAGCAGCGAAATGCCGCCTGCCTGTTTGTCTGGCCGATGTCACCGCTCTATAAGTCAGTTCGGCGGCACGCTGCCGCCCCGTCGCCCCATCGACTCGCGCTTCGGACTTCTCCACACGTTGTCTCTGTCTGGCCCGCCGCGCCCTGCCCTGCCCATCTGCCAGTGGCTTGACTGCTTGCCAGCCGAGCACTAATCGACCACCCCCTTTCCCCTCCCCCTCCGCCGCCGGTTTGAATCTCCCGCCATAAGTCGTGAGGGGGAATTCCGCTTGATATTGCGGTGGTCTCTCTCTCTCCCTCTCTCTCTCACACACGCACAAAGGCGGCGATTGTGGTCGCGGGGATGTTCTTCTTATCTGGCCACCAGCGAAGAGAGTGTCAGCGTGTGTGTGTGTCAGTGTGTGTGTGTGTGTGTGTGCAGCGCGGCGACAACCGACAACCACCTCGCGGCGGCGCCACCACCGACGCGGCGACGTGTGATGCCCCCGTGGCAGGTGTGTCGCGGCTACTTGTGTGGCCTTGCGGTGGACAGGGACGGACCGGACGAACGGACAGACAGACAGACAGAAAGACAGACAGACGGGCGGCAAGACAGACAGCAGAGCAGGGACGCGCGGTGTGCATAGAGCGGCCATTGTCCACCGAATGAATCGCGAGCAGGGCGATGTGTGTGCCGCGACGTGGGGCCGGGCCGAGGCGCGAAACACACACACAACCTCACACACACACACACACACACACACACACACACGTGCGTCAAGTTTTAAAAACGGCGCGGTGGCGGCGGCAGCACCTAGGCGAGCGCGGCAGTTTGACGAAACGTCCGGCCGGCCAGGACGCCGTCGGCTGCCGTCGGCCGTCGGGGCATTTGGAAGCGGTCCAGACTCACCTCGCCGTCGACGAGGCCCTCGCCGAGGCCGGGCGGGCCGAGCGGGGGAAGCGATTTACGGGCATTTTCGGAGAGAGCGAGAGCGAGAGAGAGAGAGAGAGAGAGAGAGAGAGAGAGAGGGGGGGGGGGCAGACAGACAGACTGAGGTGGGGGTGAGGGAGGCAGAGAGCGGGCCTCGGGGCGGGCACGGCGCCCGGCGAGCACCAGGTAGGCCGCTGGCGTGCCGGCCGGGCACGAAGTGTTGCCTACCTAGCGGGCGCTAGCCTGCAACGCATCGCGCACTTGACTTGGGGAGGGCTGTCGCTGTCCCTGTCACTCACCATTTCTGTTCTCGCTGTCCGCCGGCTTCATCTGGATCGGGTGATGCATCTGCAACAGGGAGACACGGGCGTTAGTGGTTGGTGGGCGGGGAGCGGCGGAGACGGGAAGGCGGCGGAGCGGATTCGCGTCGGAAAACGAGGAAAACACAATGCGAGCTGAGTACCTCGTTGGCGAGCCGCCAGCACCCATACCTTGGAGGGCTCGAGCCCCCCGCCCCTCCCCGGGCCGGGCCCCGGCCGCCCTTGCGGGCCTTGCGGCCACCCCCGCCCAGAGCCGAGGTCCTGCCAAGCCATTCCGAACGGTCGTTTCGGCGCTGTCTCTCTCGCACCCCTTCGGCACGACCAGCGAGTGCGACAGAGACAGACGACGGCCCGCTGGCTGCCAGGCGCTGCCGCGCTGCCGCGCTGCCCTAGCGAGAATACCTCGGCACGTGAGCACGCTTCGACAGCCTGGCTGCACCGCCAGGACCAGCGCAACAAAATTCGGCGGCCATTTCCATTTCCGCATTTCCCCTGTCTCCCTCGCACTCTACGGGCGCCCCGTCGTGGCGCGAGAGAGACAGAGCGACGACATGACTCTTCGGGAATCGGTCCGCTCGGCCGTTGGCGCATTCCGAGCGAAACGCGGCGCGCTGCACCACGCCGTCGACCGCCGACGGGGAGGGGCGGCAGCGTGCGGCAGCGTTCGAAAGGTCGCCGGACTATTTCAGAGAGTCATGAAACTGCGCTGTACCGGCAGCGCCAGGCCTGCAGCAGCGCGGCGTGTCGGCGTGTCGGCGTGGCGAACACTGCTTTCAGCACGTCCGCGGGCCGACAAGCCGCGCCACGCCACCACGTGAGCGCGCACAGTGGGCCAGAAGACCGGTGGAGGCGGCCAGAATTCTAGACGCGTTTTGAGCTCTAGAGTCGCTAAGTGGGACTCGAACCCAACGTGTGACCCCACCAATGGATTCCTGATTCGGAGAGCAATCCATTGATAAGGTTACACGTTCGGGTCGAGTCCTGCTTAGCGACTCTGGAGTTTAAAACGCGTCTAGAATTCTGGCCGCCTCCACCGGTCTTCTGGCCCACTGCGGGCACACTGGCAAAGTTTCGGTTGTTACTGGATCACAATGACAACGCTAACTTTTCATACAAGAATGTCACCAAACCAGTTTATGGCATTGTCCCACCCAGGCCGCTCGCCGTGCCACGTGTAACTCGCGGCGCCCACGCCACGTGGCCCAGTGTACACGTGTACAAAGGGAGGTTAGAGCACCGCGCGCTGGCGCCAGCTCACTCACACCCACGCACACACTCTCACACACGTGCCCTGCCGGCGCAACAGGCGTCCAGGCGTCCCGGCGCCACCAACCTGCAGATGCGCTTCCTGCTGCTTCGCCTGCTTCGCTGCTCCCAGGGCGCGGCGAGGCGGGGCGGGGCGCGGTGGGGCGGGGCAGGGCGCGGCGGGGCGCGGGGGTGGCGGCGTGCGGCCCGGCTCCGCTCTGGGCTCCGCCAAGGGTGTCGCGACGTCTGACGGGGCGGTCGGGACGGTCCGACGCGCCGACTGCAGTGCCCCGGCGGAGCCTGGCGGAGCGCGCCTAGCGCCTACACCGACGCATTGCCTGGCGTCGCGGCGCGGCGGGGCGCGGGGCGGGGCGGGGCGGGGCGGGGCGGGGCGGGGCCTGCCGGCGACGCGGCGAACTCTACCGGTGCGCGAGGCAGGCCTGGGCAGGCCCGGCAGCACAGGCCGATTCTGCGCGGCGTGCCGTCGCTCTGTCTCTGTCGCACCCACAGGCCCCACTGGGACCGCGCCGTGAGCGCGAGAGAGACAGCCTGGGGCGCGGGGCGCGGCGGGCGGGGACTCCTCCAAAGGGGCCGTCGTTAAGGTGCCATTATTGCCAGCTGGCACACACGGTCACACCTATAACTCCCCCGCCCCCGGTCCACTTCCGCCGCTGTTTTGACAAGTAGGGTACAAATGCTCCTGGCGCGGCCGACGACCGAGCGTCGCCCCGCCTCGCCTGATCTACCGTAACAACCCGCTTACAAATCCCGCCCGGTTAATTTGCTCTCGCTTCGAGATCTCGAAGTGGGTCCTGAGGGAAACGAGCAGACGACGACGCACGCGGACTTGGTACCCGCACAGACCGACGATTCCGAGGAGTCGCTTCGCCGCTCTGTCTCTCCCGCACTCATGGGGCGTTCCGTGAGGCCCGTAGGGGTGCGAGAGAGACAGAGCGAACACAGTGCTTCGGAATCGCTCGGCAGGTCGTCGTTTGCTGCAAAACGCGGAGCCGCGGGTAACCGGCCGCGAGGAGAGCTCCGAAAATGATTCCACTGTTCTATTTAGAGCGAGAGAAACGACACGCGGAGTGAGAGCGAGAGAGAGACAGCGGGAGAGAGACGCCATTAGAGAGGTGCATGCGTGCGCCGTTTGTCGACTGCACCCCACCCAGTGCAGTGCCAGTGCAGTGCCAGTGCACCGCAGTGTGCGGGGGTGCGAGCAGCATTGTCTCGGGGAGCGTCGCCAAGACAGGGGGGCTAATGCCGAACGTGCTTCCGTCGCTCCGTCTCCCTCGCACTCACGTGGCGCGCCGTCACGTCGCGTCGGGGTGCGAGAGAGACGGCACGCGGAGGTCGCGCCCTTTCCTGGAATAGCACACGTCGCCTTTTGACTGCGAAATCATTCACGCCATGGCAGGGCATGGAAATAGAAACGACTGAGCGCCTGGTCTGCCGATCTACTTCCCTCCCCATGCCTGTCTTGCGACCTTTTTAGTCCGCATGCCTGCCTGTCTGCGCGTCCAGTCCAGCCCTTCCAGCCAGTGTGGCAGCCAGCCTAGCTGTAGCCCTTTCAGCCCGTCTCCCTGTCTAGCCCTTTCAGCCCGACTGCCTGTCTGTCTGTCTGTGCGTCCTGTCCATCCCCTCCAGCCTGTGTCAGCCAGCCTGTATGCCTGTCTAGCCCTTTCAGGCCGTCTGCCTGACTGTCTGCCTGGCTGTCTGTCTGTCTACCCGCCTGTCCGGGCGGCCGGCGGCCCAGACGACCGCCATCCCTCCCTCCCTCCCCCGGCGTCACGCTGGTCATTGCAGGCCACGCGGGCTATCCAGGCTATCCATCCATAAAGCCATCAAAGCGATATGAAAGGCTAAGCCGTCCACTCCGATGCCGCGGGTCGCGGAGGGGAGGGGGGAGGGGCAGCGCAGAGCCACGCAACTGGGCGGCAAACCGCGGGCCGCGGCCGGCAGCGGGGCCCAATCCGACCGTCTCTCTCGCACCCACGGCGGCCCGTCCCGGTGTGGGAGCGCGAGAGAGACGGAGCGACGAAAAAGAACGACTCTCGGAATCAGTCCACCGCAAAGCCGGCACAGTTATCGCCGACCCCGCGACGCTGCACGCCGTCGCATCCCCTTCCACCCCTTCCCCTTCCCCCTGCTCCCCCCTCCCCCTTCCCCCGCGTCGGCCACACACCAAACGAATCGTAAAAGCGGCCCGGCGAATCGGATGGCAACGCGATGAACCGAACGGCGTTACGTCGCGCCGCGAATGGACTCGACTGGATTTGCAGCCCCCCTCCCCTTGCCCCCTCCCCTTCCAGTGTACGGTACGGCACTGCGAGAGGGGCCATTTGTCGTCGGGGACCGGGGCGTAAACTTTGAGAAATAGGGTCAATGTGAAGCGCCGCCGAAGCGGGCCGGACACACACACACACACACACACACACACACACACACAAACGCGCGCTTACAAAAATATAAGATCGGAAAGAGGGAGAGAGAGAGAGGCAGCGAGATGCGTCCGCCGTGGGTAGCGCCTGCGAACGAGCGGGTAGGCAACCGGCCTGCAGCGCGCTCCAGTGCACGGCGGGCGTGTCTACCTCGTCCCGAAAGTCCCTGTTCCTGAGCCTTAATTGTGATATTTCCTCCGCGGTGCGAGCGATTGGCGGAGTTTCCAGTGGCGCAGCGGCCGGCCGCCTGCCGTAAACTCTCCAACGGCGGTATCGACTGTAGTCAGTCCATCGGGGACGGTCACGGCCCGTGAAATGGGGGCCGTCAGGCCGATGCCGAGGGGTCGCTCCGTCGCTCTGTCTCTCTCGCACGCAAGGGGCGGCCCGTGAGGGTGCGAGAGAGACAGAGCGACGAAAAGAAGACTCTTTCGGAACCGCTGGGCAGCGGAGTGAGGGGGCGGGGAGTGAGCCCCTTCCCCCTCCACCAAGTAGCATGTGACGTCGGCGGAATACAAGGAACACTGTAGAGACTTTGAGTACAAAAAGCAGACAAATCACGTTGGTTTTCTATCGCCTCGCGTTGAAGCCGCTCACTCTGTACCCCTCCCCCTCCAACAGCCGCCAGGTTGGTGGCCAAACAGTGGACGCGACGCGACGCGAATTAGCAGCCGTCTTTCACGTAGCAGACTGATTCCGAGCGTCGCTCACGTTGCTCTGTCTCTCTCTCGCTCATGGGCTGCCCGTAGGGGTGCGAGAGAGACGGGGCGACGACACCGCCTCTCGGAATCAGTCTGCAGATAGCCGCTCCCGAAAAACCGAGGCGGATACTGTATGAAAAATGGCGCGTGCAGGTGAAGCCGGAAGCAACTTCCGGTGAAGTGTTGTTCTCGTAATCCACCGAACGTGTCACCCACCAATGGATTCCTCGCTCGTTCTGAGAGCTCCATTGGTGGGGTCACACGTTCGGTTCGAATCCTGTTTAGCGACTCTGGAGCTCAAAACGCGTCCGCGATTTCGACCGCCTCCACCGGTCTTCTGGCCCACTGTGCGGCGGCGGGGCGCTGCTCTCCGCTCGTGCCATTGGTCAGCGAACAATCTGAGCCACGCACGGCCACGCCGCCCCGCCCGCCCCGCCCGTCAAGTCTTATAAATAGCCGATGGGTGTCGGGCGTGGCGGGGCGTGGCGGGGCGTGGCGGGGCTTGACGGGCGTGACGTGGCCGAACGCCATGCACTCTGCGATCGGGAAAGGGTTGCCGCAGCGACACGCCACTAGAAATCCCTTCCCCCGGGCTGCCCATCGGGCTGCCCATCGGGCTGCCGATCACACCTGTGTCAACGCCC